GGGCGCGATGATTATACGGATATTAGAAAAAACCCATTATTGTTTCTTGGGCGATATTCTTGTCTACAGCAATCGGAAAATTTGGAGATTTGCGTCTACAACTTGGCACAACCGCAAGTAACTGATGAGGTTGAAATCTCAAGCATGGCATTTCGCGACTGCATGCGGTTCTTTGAATGCCGCCGGTTATTTTTTGGAACCATTGATTTAAAATTTAAAATGAGATCGATCCTTTGGCCTGTCATCACGTTCTTACAATTAGAGTGACAAATTGAGATTGAAGAATGAACAGTATGAACACCTGACAGAGGGGGAAGGGACGTGTTGACACCAACGTATATGAACCAAAGAGAGAGAGAGAGGATTTGAATTTTCGTCAAATTTTTGTTCTTTCAACCTTATCATCTACATTCCACACTTTTGTAAAATAAATGGATGCCGTTCTTAATTAAATCGGCTTTACGACAAATTTTTCGATCAATTTATGCAAAAAATTTTTTAGAAACTTTGTTTAAAAATTAAAGACTGTAAAACATTAAAGGTATCTATTATTCAGAATGTTTTTGTTTCTAAACTCTTCATTTATATCATTATTAGCTGCTGAGGCACGAATTTTTTACTCCACGCCCTATAACAATAAAAAAAAGAAAAAAAAGGCAAGGGTGAAATGAGGAAACTTAATTTGAAACAACCTTGGCTGCTTAATTTATGCTTACATTCCCGATAATGTTCCGCCTAAACGGCTCACATAAAATAAACACCTTCAAGCAAGGGTTTAATGCATTTTATCGCCTGATGACATGCAAAAATTTAACACTTGAGTGCTGCCAAATCAAACGGGCGTTCATATTACGGTAATTAAGCTTCATAACTGTCCCGTATTAAATCGCAGAACGCATCTTGTTGACGGGACACTGTCAACAGTATCACACAACCGGTGGCTTGGATCCAGGATTAAGGTGATTCGACGGTTGCTATTTTTTGTGTCAGAGCGACGTGCGATACATCTCATCAATTCGTTCCATAATTTCAACTACTTGTCGTTTATTTCCAATTTTGAGATCGCACTTCATGAGACTTATGAATTCATATGTATCAAATTTGACAAGGAAATTCAACGTAATAAAGGCAGGGGTTTTTTAAAGGAAAAATATCGCATTCGATACTGATATCGAAACTGTGCTCGAATGCGATATTTTACCTCTAAAAAAACCCTGCCTTTGTACGCTGAGTTTCTTTATCAAATTTGGTACATGAATTCTCTCATCTGATGACATCAGAAGTGCGATCTCAAAATTCGAAAAAAAATTACAAGTAGCTGAAAATATTGCACGTCGCTCTGACACTAAAAATGGCAACCGTCGAATCACCTTAAGTATACTAAGTATCCCGAGATTTTTCTCTCTCAAGTTTTAGTGAAGGGGAATGAATTCAAAACCATCGCGACAATCTGAGAAAGCAGATCCAGGGAAAAATCTCGTTATCTACTTTTATAACAGGTTTACAAATAATCAAAAGCCAAACATTTTGCTGTAGACTCAAAAGTATTCCAGCAAGTTTTCACATTGTATGGTTCACGCGAAAGAAGATGGACTATATTCCAAGTCAAAGAGTGTAATTAATTGCAGTTACATAGAAACACTATTCCTATACGGCCGAAATGTTGTGTATTTTGTATACTCACTGATTGAAGGGGCTCCTCTAATTGAAATTTCTCGCGATAAAATTGAAGTAAAGTTGCCATTTTGTTTGCATAGCAAATTGCCCACCTTTCTTACACGAGTAACGTATTTTAATGATCATTTGGAAACGGCATTAATTAACCAAATGATACAAAAATAACGATTAAATTGCAAGATTAATTCAATATTTTTATAACGCTGAACTACTTGGGAATGCTACTTGGTGTATCTTCAGTTTGGATCGCATTTAGCAAAAAAGAACCAGCGCGATGTCAGTGTTGTAAAAATGTTGCTTATTCATATTTACCTAAAAAGTCTCCCAAAATAATAAAATAGTTTTGCTTCCCACCAAAGAATTGTTAATTTTTAAGAAAAATAATTTTGTAAATTTTAGTATTTTACTATATTGAGTATTTTTAAAAGAAAAGAATAAGCGATTTTGAAAACACTGCAATCTTGCTGGTTCCTTTTTGCTACATGCGATCAATTTAGTTTCCCGTCACGTTCGGTATGAAAAAGTCCTCCCGGTCAACACCACAGGCGATCGTTTTTCTCGTGATTTTCCGTAAGTAGGTACGCTTTTCTTTTCATAGTATCCCGCCGTGACCGTTTCTCACGGTTTTCCTACTTCTCTATTTTTAGACCGCGTGACGTTTGAAGTCGGCGCATGGTATTTATTTTTATCCGTTTTGTTTTGTTTACATATCCCGCCCTGCCCTCACCCTCGTGCTAATGGAATGGAACTAATAACAAACTAATTGAAAAAGAGAGTTGAAGGCGAAAGTGAGATAAAATAATGTTTCGACCGCAAGTCTTCTGACCATGACTTTTAAATCAAGGTTACGCCAGATCCGATCCAAGGAAGTCAGAGAAAGTGCGGGAGGGTTTAAAAATTTAGCGACCGGGAAACCGGAAACTGTGAGCGGTCTTTCGGGGTTTTCAATTTGGTATATTTTTAGTGCAGGGCCGGATTTACCTACTTGCCGCTTGTATTTTGCCGCCCCCTTAATCTCATTCGTTTTGAAACATCAATAAAAACCATCAAGTAAACGTGCAGCGGGAAGGGGTGCATAAGACGCGTTTACTCGTGATGGTCACATTTTTTGCGAAGTCCTGTCAACATTACTAGCAAAAGTTCACGGAGCTTTGCGCGAAAGTTAAGTTCCGAAAACCTATCTCTGTGTGGACAAGGCCTTCCATTCATAAGAAATGAACGAAAAAATTATGAAAGAACTAACTGACCGCACTGTGTTTGGCGCAATGCGTGAAGCATTCCTAAAGTCTTGTAGGCGCTATGCGTTTCATACCGACCGCTGCGCTGCGATGCTGACCGCACTGTGTTAGACGCAATACGTGAAGTATTTACGCAGTCTTGTAGGCGCTAATATGCGTTACATGCCGATCGACGCATCGAGGGCTTCTCCTTTTCATCTCAAGTCTTCGTCATCATTGCTCTCTGCCTCGCGCCGTTCCGGACCAAATCGCGTGTTTGGATCCTCTCTTAACTCAACTAATTGAAGGTGCTGTCTCTTATATCACCGATAGACGACAAAATTACAAATTACTATACTCTCAGAAAGTGGAGATTTTGTCGCCTTTTCTAGTTTGTTATTTTTTTTTCTGAATCTGATTTGTTTTTATACTTGCAATAAAAAAAATTGCAAAATGTGCCGCCATGGGCCGTGGCCCATATGGCCACCCCCTAAATCCGGCCCTGTTTTAGTGCAGAAATTGAATTGTCAACGGAAGAGACCTAAATGCACGGAAAGTAATTTCATGTTCGGCTCTGCTTAAAAATAAGTATTAAGGACCAGATTGAGGGTATGGCGCATGAGTAGTGACTGCGCCAGGGGCCAACAAGGGTGCTGAAGAGAGAGAGGAGAGAAAAAGAAATTACAGAAAAAAGTGGAAAAGAAGATGAATGAATACAATGAAAAATTCGGAAAAGAGACAGTTTTAAGTTCGGAATGCAGCTGAAGTTGTAACTTTCATTCTTTCAGAATTTACAAGTACCTATCAACACTATTAGATTACACGAGATACTTTGCAACCAAGTTGCCTCTTGGGATGAGAGGAAAAATTCGTGTAGTTGGGAAAACTAATTTTATTTCGTACTGATATTTTGCTATGATAAATTTGTAAGTATTGAGTATGAAAACTTCGAGAAAAACCCGTGAAGTCCCTGATCAAATGTTCAGATGAATAGAAAATGAAACCCTTGAAATTTTCTTGTACGCGATCTCTATCAAAAAATTGTAACTGACCAACGCGTGTCTTACGCAGGGAAAAATTCAGAGCCTGTCCCTATTCTTGATCTTATTTTTTACTGGAAGTTAACCGTCAATTTCCTTGGATAAGTAACGTAAGTGATTTTCGAGGAGCATGGATAGTGGCCATTCAAAAACAGAGTTATACGACAGCATGCATGGATTGAATAGACGAGCGATGAGAGATTCTGAAAGCAGATATCGTTCACTTCAATAACGCCTTCACTTTCGACACATAGGCAACAAACACACCGGAAAACGTGACCCGATGAACATATTTATTTTGCTCTATACTATGTGCTTTGATTGAAAGGGGCTGCAAACCTTCAATTATGTCCTTAGCAACTTCTGAAGGAATACCTAATTGCAGTCCCATATACTTGTTTGCTATTAAGCATGTAACATACCTTAATGAGCTCGCATGGATATGAAAATCGCGGATTTTTCTCAGAAGTAAGGTGAAAATTGTGTGATATTTTATGTTCTTAATCAACCGCTAAAAATTTACCCATACTTATGCCGCGAAAGTGAGGTGAATAACGGTTAATTTTTAATGATTTTACAAAACCGCTGGAAAAATCACGTAAATGTCGCGATTTTGCTGTGATTATCGGGATATTTCTCATTTATTTTTTTAAACAAAATTGCTGGAAAAATCGTGCATTTCCCGCGATACCGAGTTGAAAAGCGCGTAATTCTTTAGGATCCAACGCATTCACTGAGAATATCGCGTTCTTTTCGAGAAATTGAGATGGAACTCGCGTAATTCCTCACCATTTAAAAGCCAGAAATGAAGCGAGCAACTATTCGAACTCCGTGGTAGGTATGTGGTATCACGCGAAATTGAAGGATAATCTTAGGTTTTGCCTATCTCAAATTACTGACGTTCTGCACTGATGACTTTTTCAATTGACTCAAATAATTATTTTCTTTCCTTTTTTGGTTTGTTTTTGTAAGTGATGTGATAGTTTATTATCATTGATCATTTTAATTTTCTAGTCATTTTTTATAAGCATTTAACATTTTTTTTTTCGTATAAATCTGTTCTCAGGTTGTTTGGACATATCTATAGTAACCAAAAGCAGCCATGAGCCTGAAGCCTATTGAACCACAACCTCACCAGCCCATTGTTCAAGGGTATGATAATTACCTCCTCCAACTGACACCACTTCAAGAGGCTACCCTTGAGGAGGAGTTCGCCCGAACAAAAAGTATCCATGAAGCAGATTTGGCCATTTTGGCCGCTGAAATCGGTCTCGATGAAACAGAAGCTCAGGTAATACAGGATCCTTTGACGTTATTTCTTTACGATCAAAAGTTTATTTTTTAAAGAGATTGCTCATGCCCCTGGTTTGTTTGCTGCTTTTTTAAACGTTCTGTTCAAATTGGTCTTAAGTTTTTTGCTTCTATGCAATTTTCAACCACCAACATTCACTTTTGAGATTCTTGCAACTGCTCCATCAATAAAAAAAAATATCTTGGTTGGACTTCTTTAAAATTTTAAGTGGAAAACATTGCAAACAACAATAAAATTGAAAAAAAAAAACACAAATATGTAATAATGTTGATAATTTACTTCAATAAAATTCAAAATCAGATATCAAATTTATGAAACTCAATAACAGTAGACTCCACCAGTAGTATGCATTTTCCTTCAAACAGTATGCTTGCACTGCTTTTAGCCCTTAATCTCCTTGACTCAGATAACATCAATGCAACAATAAAGACAGCATGAGACAAAGCAAATATACATGCCTAGCAAAATTGGCTCTTACATTATTAGAAATAGTGCTCATGTTCCATGCTACCTCTAAAATTAAATGACTCACAATTAATACACGAAAAACTGTTGATACCACAAACGTAAAACAGCAGCTGCGCTAAGTGCGTAAGATGTTTTATCATGTATCTAACCTTCTCTTCGGTGCATTTACAAAATAATTAGCTAGTGCTGACATTGTTTTTTTTTTTTCATTCTAGATTTGGTACACACGCCGGCTGGCTATGTGGAGGCACCAACAAGGACTATCTGACAACTTTGGGACCCTATAAATTTTACTCACTGGAATGAGACGCTGATAATCACGATCCGTTTCAACTGTATAAATTATACTTGTACAAACAAATTGTTAATTAATTTATTATATATTATATTTTTACTCTAATACAAAATACATAAGGTTTGATTTTTGATGAGATATTTTATTTGATTTCATTCATGGAAAAAAAATTATACAGTCTCTACAGCTATTTGTACGTCGTACAGAAAATTTTAAGGCAGCACTTGCATATATATAAACAGAAAGCGAGCCATGGTAAGCAATGTTTTATAAAGCTGAGTAGCAAAGTTTAGTGAATGCTCTTTGATAAATTTCTTTAAAAATTTCCTTGATACAATACTATACATTTGGTTGGAGTGGCTGACCTAGATATGCAAGTCATTCTTATTCTAAATCAAAGAAATTAATTGTTTCAGACCAGATGCCATATTCTAATGCTTTAAATTTCTTTTTTTAAATCATGGGATCCTGGCAATTAATCTTCATCATCTTAAATTCTCCCTGTGTCGCAGTATCGTCCAACACAGAGGAAAGGTAAAAGTGGAAAATGCATAAAGTGTCTTGTGGTGCTTGACTTTTTACCCTGTTTACTTAGTTATCGGATCATGGAACCTATCAACCCTCCAACTTTATTTCCTTTTTTATGAAACCATTATTTTGTTCATGTTTTATAGGACGTTATTTTCATAATTATTTAAACCCATATAATCTTAGGCAATTCCGTGATATCTCGCATGAAAACCGACAATAAGGTCTTCGGGTTAATTGGTCAATGATGATAGTTCTGAGTTAGTTTGTTTTTTTTTCTCTCTTTTTTTTCAGTAAAACTTAATTTATCGACAAATTCTATCCGAAACTTTACATTTTGTCTAGTTAAACTTTAGTCTAGTATTTATCCGTTGGTTAATATTTGACGTAGAGACTTGGCATTTGGACCGAGCTTATTATTTTTTGTGAATCCGTAAGCTTAAGCGAGTAAAGTAAGGTCCGAGGACTAGCGGAAATGATCCATTAAGTAAGAGTACGAAGTCTAAAGTTGTTAGTTACTTATTGCGGAGTAAATGGTCAATAAAACGCCTTCGAAAAGTATTGATACCATACGCGTAACAGGTCTGGCATCTGCGCGCAACAGCCGCGCTAAGACACGGCTCGCGAAACGAGACGTTTCATGATTTCAGGACCTCACCCTTCCATTCTTTGAACTTACAAAATGAGCAGTGACAGTCTGTTCTTTATTTTTTTTTTACTCCCTCTAGATTTGGTATACATGCCGATTGGATATGTAGAGATACCATACGGACTATCCGAGAGTTTAGGAACTCTAGAAATTTCACACCATTGGAAAGAGAGAAAGGCTGAGTAATCGCATGACCCGTTTCAACTGTATGTCTTCATGTGCCAATTATTTTACGTTTTTGAGATGGATTATTTCGGAAAAATCAAAGTTTTAGTCTCTTTGGATCAATTATGAAGGCATTTTTGTACCAAAAATCATCTTCCAAATTCCTTAAGCTTAAGCGCTTTAGGTCAAAAGCACTGTTTCCAAATTGCAACTGGTTTCAATATACTGATGAGAAACAGTACTTAATTTTGACTTCATTCTAAGATTTTGCAAGATATCGATGGTGAAACTGCAGAAATGAGTATCTCGGATTGCAGCGTTGTAGACTCCCTGTCATGCATATACTTAATTTTACTTCATTGAAAACTATTGAGCATTATTATTTCTTGAAAACTGCGGAGATTTTTCTTCTCCACGTGAAGAATATAAGAATACAAGTTTCAAGCCATGATGTTGGTTTGGTCTCCTTTCAAAATGTAAAATAGAAGCGGATATTTCGAAATATCCGCAACCGATACACGAATTTTTACAGTTTCACCGTCGATATCGACGGTGAAACTACCAAACCACGTATCTCGGTTTGCGACGTCGCAGACTTCTTGTCATACTTTATTTTTTAAATTAAAAACAACTTAACGTCTAGTCTTGAAAATTTCTGTGATTTTTCCTCTTTGTGCGGAGAAAATTCTGTGAAAATTTCAAGGAATGATATTGATTTGGCCAACTTCAAAAAAATAAAATGCGAGCGTAGATTTTTAAACACCGCAAACGAGATACGTGTTTTGGTAGTTTCGCCGTCGATATGCTCTTTGGCATGGAAATTCCTCAGTGATTAGTCCAGAGACCGAAATTTAAATATTCTGTCATTCCTTTTTAAAGGACATTCCGCATAATGTTTAAAATTTAAAACCTATCGATCACAATGCGCAAAAGCTTGAACTGCACTTTAAAAGTGCAAGGAGCTTGACACGGGATTTGGGAATTTTTTGTCTCGCGCGGTTGCGCGTGAACTGGTGCATATGGTCTATCCTGCCGTGCTAAGGAAAAACGCCGTATGAACATCCGAGAGTTGCCAAATTCCCCCTTTTCAGATGATAATTTTTGAGACGAATAATGAATATTTCTAACTTAAATGTTCTGATAATTTAGATCACATTGCGAAGAAAATTTTCTAAAAAATTGGGAGGAAAATTTTCACAAGTTTTCCTGAAAATTCGTAGTTTACCAAAAGAAATCTGGCATCGCATGAGGGTTATACGGCGTTCTTCCTTAGCACGAGATTTGGGAATTTTATGTCTCGCACGGTGGCACGTGGACTGGACTGGACTGGACTGGTGCATTATGGTCTATTCTGCCGTGTTAAGGAAAAACGCCGTTTGAACATCAGAGAGTTCCCAAATTTCCCCTTTTCAAATGTTAATTTTTGAGGCGAATAATGAATATTTCTATCTGAAATTTTCTGATAATTTAGATCGCATTGCGAAGATAATTTTCTGGAAAATTGGGAGGAAAATTTTCACAAGTTTTCCTGAAAATTCGTAGTTTACCAAAAGAAATCTGGCATCGGACGAGGGTTCATAAGGCGTTCTTCCTTAGCACGGCAGTACTATACCTCTACTGCCGTGCTAAGGAAGAACGCCGTATGAGCCTTCGAACAATGTCAAGTTTCCTTCGATAAAAACCGGATTGACAGGGAAAATTGAAAATATTTTTTTCTAAAATTTTCGGAAAATTTTGCACGCAGTTTAATCTAAAATATCTGAAAATTTCAAGGAAAAACATGCATGAATGTTGTCAAAAATAATGTTTTATCAAGGGAAATTTGGCAGCTCTCAAATGTTCATACGGCGTTCTTCCTTAGCACGGCAGTATCATACCTCTACTCCTGCTAACCTCTTCTTTCTCTCTTTCTTCTCTAAAACATGTTTTACAGTTAGATCGGGACCGAATAGACTTACTACTCGGTCCACCATGACTGGATCGGAGGATTATCACGTAGGCAACTAATAATGAGGACCCTGTCATTACCTTGTTCTCTCGATTCCTTGTATGATCGGTCCATCGGCGCCGCGGACGCGTCACTCTCGAATTACCGCCCAGATCAAAACGCAGTGAAAGTGCTTACCTAATAATTTCATTTCCCAGCTTTCGTGATTTCTCAATCGATGCCCCCACGAAAAAGGCTTTCTTTTCCCTCGCGCTCGCATTGAACGTCGCACAATGGATCGAGTAGTAGAGGAAGTCGGGCATGAATTTTTTGGCTAAAATTTCAAATTTTGATGTTCACATGGTCACGAATCCAATTTCAAGGGGTGTTTCTGAAATGAAATTTCACGAAAAACCCAATAAAACCACTCTTGAGCCTTTTAGTTCCATATTTCAAAAATATAAGCTTTCAAAGTTTCCACATTTTGTCCAACTTCTCCTGTTGACTAGGTCCACTGTGCACCGTTTCGTATGGTTCCGTTCGTTGTTTTGTTCGCTGCTGTTTTAAGAACCAGGATATGATTAAGTCACCCACCAAGTAGACCTCGCAAAGGTGCGAGTGGTTTGGTTAATTTTTTTTCACTGTATTGACAGATTTATGGATTACGAAAACCCGTAAAAACTTATTTCTGTAGTTGATGACTTACAACACGTAACTTTTGCAAACATTCACCCGCAACATTTTATTAAAAAATGAGCTTTTTTTAAATTTTTGTCATCTTCTTATGAGAAAAAGCGATTCAAAACCGGTATCTACTAACAGATAACTCCTATCCTAAAGATTGTTTAAAAATTAAATAAGAAATAAAATATAACATTCTGCAACAACGGCCATTATTTGAATCTCCCTAAGTCGCTAAGTCCATATATTATTCTGTGGCGTATTTATTACCCCGGCCCAACACAACAAACAAAAGGTGTAATTGACTCGTTTTGTGGAGTAATTTTGAAAATAAACAATTAAAACGCAGCTCGTATCGGCCGCACGAAGTTGGAGGCAAGGAAGGCTTAAAAATGAGAAAGCAGACTTGATTGTCGACGAAGGGAGGAGAAAAAGGAAGGGGTCAGTGTATCATTTAAAAGTGACACGCACCCAAGCGTGTTTCACAAACGTCGCAACGCACTGATAATTTCGCAGCTTAAATCTGATTAACTTGGCCGGGTTTTTACCAGCTTATTTATGGGTTCATTTGGTGACTTTTCTAATTGTTTAACTCGTTTGAGCACCAGCAAGTGACTCCATACTTATTCTGAGTTTTTTTTAAAAGCATTCTTGGAATATCAGATAAGTTGAGCAATTAATGAAACCGACGCACTCATCAACTCTTCCTCTATTAATAAAAGAACAACTTAATTTTGGGAAAAGACTGCAAAAAAAACAACAAAGGATAAACAAAACCCGGAAGCGCAGGAACAAACTTTGTAATTACTGCACTGATGTTGATGGTCTCTGCTGCTTATCACCAGTTTTTCCTCCCAGAGGGAATTGGTGATTAAATTTCCATCCTTTGTAATCTTTGTCTCGCGTGCTTTGATTTTGCTGCACTGTGCCGAGTCTGTTTACCTGGTAATCAGTCTCGGTCTCGCAATAACAGCGTATCGGCGGCTCGTTTTTATTTTTGATTTTTTTTCCGGTTGAAAATGAAATTGTCACGATTTTGAAACGTTCCGGGTTTTGTTTATCCTTTGTTGTTTTTATGCAGCTTTTCTCCAAATTAAGTTGTTCTTTTATTATGAGTATTTTGGCTGATTATAAGTTGTCTTTCATTCTTCCTCT